GTGTGGCAGGAAGCAGTGCCCCACAGAAGATGCAAAACTGGGGGGTTGTAAGCAGTGACCGCGTTCAGGGGAAGATTTTTCTTCCCAACAAGAAAATCTTTCTGTTGCAGGGGCAAAGCAGCTTATGACAAAAAAAAAAAAAAATAATAATTCGGTTCAAACTCCTGAGGAAGGGGGAGCTTAATAAAAGGTGCTTTGAAAGGTGTGCTCTTCTGAAACATCAGTTTTCAAACCACACTGTCATATTTTTTATGAGCTCTACTCAGGTGCAGCAAAGGTCCCTGTTCTCCATTCCCATCCCCTCAGCAGATGTCCTGCTCTGCATCTCCTTGCATACAGGGCTCCCAACAACGGGGCAAAGAAGAAAAGTACCCCCTTGAAGACCACTATTCAGAGCAGAATTTGTCTCTGAATACAGACAGACACTGCATATTGCCCTTCGCACCAGCAAGGACTGTTCTGACACAGAACCTCAAGATTTCATCCAGCTGAGCCCAGCACTGTGTTATTGACTACCACAGGCAAGCAGCACAAAGTGCTTTGCACATTTTGAGACCTGTAATTTGGTTAGACATTCAGTATTGTGCTCTGTAATCAGCTGCTTGCACTTACAGAGAAGCAGGGTTGTGTTTAGGATGTCCTTGTATCAAGCAATTACTAATAGCATTGACCTGTTAGGAGGACCAGTACGTTACCTTCATGCTTCCAGCCATCCTGGAGCATGTCGATGTGATGTACCGTGGCAGCAAGCACTCAGGAAAGACCTTGGCTCTGCTGGAAACCCCCAACTTCAGGTAAAGTCAAAGCTTTGCCTTCAGTATTGGCACTTAAAGCTCACTCTCCATTGCACATCTGATTTCTGAAGGTCTTTCCCAGCATCTTTGAAAACAAAACGATTTCCCTGACATTCGGCATGCCACATCTTGTGCTGGGGAGGAGTCCTAGCAACTCCCCCAGGGCACTGGCTGAAGAGGAGAGACTAAGAAAACGCCGTGCAAAGGTATGGCTGTCAAAATGCTTCTCTGTTCGTTTTTTGGAAGCGACTCCAGGTTGTGGGTTAAAAAGAAGCCAGCCAGTTCTCCGACTGTATTCCCGCACATAGCAATGTTTGGTGATTTTTGGAGATGAGGAACGTGGTATTTTGAAGCAGTGGTTGGGTTTCCTCAATGACAAAATCATAATAATATCTCCTGTTTATACCACACTGTCATCACTTGTAATGTATCTTACTCTGCTTCCTTCAAAACCAGTTTGAATTTGGAAATCTATTCAGCACTGATTTTAAAGATTAGACGTATATGGTAGCTGTGTCCAAGCACTGCAGCTATGCTTGATGAAATTCATAATCAAATATTTCAAATTGAATGATATTCACAACAAAATAATTCTTTTGCAATCCTCCCAGGACATGCTCAATGAAGCCCCATTCAGTCATGCTCAAGAAATGAAAGATTCATCTGTCATCTGCAGGAATACTAACAGCCTCCCTCCAGTAAATGAGTAATAGCCCAAAATGAGAGGAGTAGTTCCAAAATACAGAGAAAGTTGTTGTCTGGGGGAACATAACCCATGTGTTTTGGAGATACAGTTGTATAGACAGAAGATAAATAAACATGCAGAGTTTCAACTAACCTTTATTCAGTACTCCAATACAGCTCATTTCCCTGCAATTGTGTTTGACACACACAATTTGCTAACTCTGAAGAGAGCAATAATTTTCCCTCAGTCACTAACATCACCAAAAATGCCACCACCTACATCATTCCTCTCTAATGTAATAATACCTTGTTAAGCAAAGAGCGTTCATGATTATATTACTGCACAATGTTTCTCTAAATGAAAAGAAAGGAAAAAAAAGGAGCAAGCTCATCAATAATCAACCTGTTTCTGCTGTTTACAGGGCAATCAGGTGGAATTTAAATAAATAACTTTTCTTTGAAGAAGGCAAACCAGATTCAACTTCCTTAGCAGGGAGAGACAGATGAGAGATACCCACAGCTGGTTCCCCTGAGAGGCAGCAAGTTACTTTTCTGCATGGTGTCTGACCCCATCACTGCTCCAGGACCTGAGGACCTGTAGGCACAGGACCTACACCAGGCAGGTGCTGAAAGAGTGTGATCTATCCAGGCCTGCCCAATTTAAGCCAGTCTGTCCAGGGATGCCCAATCTGTCATGGCTCCAGCCATCTGCCCCTGCGTCCTCTAGAGACTGACCACATCCACAGGACAGCCAGCAGAAGGCATGGTGCACCCCAACCTCTCCTCTCACATTGTCCAGTGTGTTGCCTTAGCCCCTTGGTGCAGGGAGGGTGTCCGTGGTGGGATGGAGCTGGAGAAGCCTGGTTATATAGGCACAATTCTGCCAACCCTGCTGCAGGGGTGGCAACCCCTAGGAAAGTGGCAGAGTCTTGAGACCCTCTGCTTAGTGTCCAGGGTCCCCACTGTTATGGAAATAAATTAGGAGATTCCCTAAAACATTAGTGTGGACTGCAACATGCTCACCAGGCAAGATGGGACTGCCCTGGTACACGTGGCAGGTGACGAAAAGACATGCTATCAGTGGTCTTTCTTGCCCAATCCAGACTAGTGCTAGAGAAGCTACAGGAAGAATTTCAATTTCACCAACCATGCACAGGCTACACAAAATACATCACACTGCAAATCACCTTCATATAGACCTGGAAGAGCTTCTCACCCGGCCAGAGAATAATTAGGTAGACAGAAATGGAGCCAAGACTACTATTCAGTGTGCTGTCCTGCCCCAGCACCTTGAAGAACAATGGAGAATGGGTTCTGCTCATAGCAGCAATAATGGAAATATTCTAGGAAAGCTACTTCTTTGAAACAGGCTTCCCAAAAGGCAAACTGAGGTTGCCTTTCAGCCTATTATAAACCTACGCAGAATTCTCTCCCTTCTGAGCACCCCAACAGAGAAACCTACTGAAGGGCTCCCAAAGCATCCTGAAGCAGATCAGATGAACAAGGAGGTAACATGGGGTTGGAGCTACCAGCCAGCTCCCTGAGAGGCAGAACCAAGCACTCCAAACTGAAAGTGTCCCCAAGGTCCCAAACTGTCATCCATCAACATCGCCCTTGTCAAATAGCAGTTGACAGTAAGTTAGGCAAGGATGCTTCAGATGCTGAAAATATATCAGGTTTTTACTACGAGATGTCCTAAATTTTGGCCTAAATGGGATGTAGAATATTCTAAAACAGGATCTTATGAACAACACCACTGGCCCTCTACCACCAAAACTCTACCTTTATAATGGCCAAAAAAAAATCTCAGCTAAGGAAAATGGAGCACTTGATTCTCATTAGCAGCAGCCACAGCTTGCTGATCTAATAACAGATCTTTCCAAAAGGAACAACCCCAAAATAAGCCTTCAGGGATAGGACAAAAAGAACAGATATCCAAACATTTTGGATTCCATTGGGTATTATCTTTCATTTTGCATTAATAATAAGATAACATTATCACTGGCCCCTGCAAGCCATTCCCTTGGATTTTAGGAACAGTGACATCTGGCAAAGGGGAAACAGCAAACTAACTGCTTTTTTCTATAAAATCTGTCAAATTTGGGAGTGCCACTGATTGATACTTCCACAGTACCAATAGTTATACACTCATTGATTCACAGGTTTGAAATTATAGAGGGTTGTTGTCACTCCTGCAAAACCACAGCCAGGTTCAGCTGCCCAGCACCCACAGATCAAAGAGTCACTGCTTTTATTCTGCGACGTGGCAGAATCAGGAGCGATGGTCACCCCAAACCACTGCCGCATTCACTGCCTGTTGGGAGCAAAGGCCGTGCACTTTGCAGGATTATAACTTGCAAGTGTTACCCCCCCTCGAGGCTGTGGTGGCTTTGCAAGCCCAACAACTAAAGCAGCAGATAAATAACCAATGAGTCTTCCCATCAATGCTATACTCTCACTGGATGAGACTATAAATATTCAACTCTTTTTTTTTTTTTTTTTTTTTTTTTCCAGTATACAGCTTATTTAAGTTAAAACCTATTTGCCCCTGTCGCAAATCTCACTTGCTGGAGCACTTTCGCAGCTGGTCTAAAATGGCACGTTCCTCCCAAGAACCATAAAACACGCTGGACTACCAAGGCTGCAGATCAACAGTTTCTTTTTAAAGAAGGCCGACTTCATCAGCATTTTGTTTCCAAAACTGTCCAACCCCAAGATGAACCCCCTTTGGCAAGAGGGGGAGGATTTCATGCCCTCTGGTACGTTGTAACCTCAGGTATGAATGAACATTTGCATCCTCATCTTCAGCAGAGAAAGGTCCTTGCCTTTGCAAAGGGAAAAATGAGCAAGTCTGCCAGCCCACAAAGAGCAAAGCTGGGCCAATAACTGATTTTACAGCATGCAGCAGCCGAAATAAATAGGCAAGAATAATCTGTATCATTGCAAGAAACTTCATTTCTGATTTGAACTCTTAAAGGTTTCAAGTTGGGACAGGAGACAGCAAGCGAGAGCAAATGCAATAAAATCAAAGGGAATTTATTAAAATGAAGTTGTTCCAATCTGGAAAACACAAAAATGTCTTGCTTTGGAAAAGTCTCAGACAACATTTAGCTGTCAGAAAAGCTTCCCTCAACTCAATTGAGTCAACAAAAATAAGATGCACCTGTAAAAAAATCCTCCAGTGCTGCTGAGTCTGTGTTCATTTTTACTTAAGAAAAGAGTTTTACCCAAACCCAGGAAGACTCCTGTCTTAGTGGAGACACTCCGATGCTTACAACGTAAGCATTTTGACACAGTGACCCTTCAAAATTTTCCAGTGAATGTGCAAGTAGCAAATGTCGGCTAATTATCAATTTGCTTTTTTACTCATTTTATACAGAGCTTAAGAAGGAACTTAGAGTTCTCCCAGGTGCTGTAAAGCAGAGGTGAAGACCTCTACTCTTGGACATACATCAGGGCCAACTGCAACCTGCACCACGTGCTAAGAGATGCAGCTGCTGGTGTCTGCTCTTCCACCCTTACCTCGCACCGGTGACGTCCACACCGACCATCAACTGGCCGTTCAGAGAAAGGATCTCGTCTTTCAGGCGCACTCTCCCGCACTTCCCGGCTGGGCTGTTTTTCTTCAAGTCTGTCACCCAGATGCACCCGACATCGAGCACTGGCCCCTTATGCCCCTTCCTCTTCTTCCCTCCCCGACGCTTCTCCCCATAGTCCCCCAGAGCAGGGATGTTCCCAAAGCTCAACCCAAGAACCTCAGTTTTTCGCATCTCTTGGGCCAGGTACATGGTGCAGATCTCCGTATCCGAAGTCCCGCAGCTCCCTGGCTGTAGTTTGCTCTCATCCACAGAGAAGTTGAGCTGAATGTACTCGCTCAGCTTCTGGACAGCCGAGCGGCAGAGCTGCTGCTCGGCCCCATCGGCCCCCTCCCGACGGCTGTTCTGCAGCCACTGGCACAGGAGGGGGAGGAAGACCCCCGCGTTGTCCTGAGTGATGGGCATCGCTGACCCTGTGCATCCCCTCACGGCAGCAGTCCCGGTCCCAGTCGGCTCCCCAGACCTTGGCTCTGCCGCCCGCTGCAGTCCCCTGCGGCCCCTGGGGCCATGCTGGAGTGGGGATGCAGATCCAAAGCAAGCCCCATTTAATCTCACGGGGACTTTTTGGGGGCTCCAGCTGACCAAAAGCACAGTCAAGGCAGGATGTTTGATGTGAACACGCCGCAGACAGCCCCACCGAAAGGTCAGTGGATGAAGCGGTGGGTAGAGCCCATGGCTGTCAAGGTATGCCGGCTGTCAGGGTCCGCACTCCACTGGGAACGATGTCTCCTTCCCACCACGGTCACCACACCGTCTCGTCCTGCAAGGGAGAAACAGCATGGTTAGAAGTGCCGAAAACACTGCCGGAGTCCATCAGCCCCATCCCAGCATCCCGCCCGGGACAGGAGCCCGACACCGGGCTTGCACGGCCGGAGCCGCTCTCCTTCTGCGATTTACCACTTGAGGGCACCAGCTGCTCTTCTCAGCAAGGGAATAAAAGGTCACTATTAGCTCCCGACCTCCCCGGTAAAAGGGGGAATTGAGCCGTGGGGTTGCTCCAGCCACAGCTCAAGGCTTGTCACCGAAAGAAAGGAGACACTCCGACCAAATCCACTCCACGCACCACTGAAGGGGGACGGCGCGACACTGGTTGATGCCGCTGCTGAAGGCGTTTCTGCCCACGTCCGTGCCAGTGTCTTTGGGCTGGGATAGGCTAAATCCGGTCACTTCTCAGCCTTAGAGGCCCACCAAGCTGCAGGAGGGGTGGGCAGCAGCAAACACAAAGGGTGAGGACAGGCAATGGGGTCCCTCCTCAGACCGGCAGGGCCGGCTTATAGCCGGCTAAACCTACCCTGCAGGTAAAGCATCTAAGTAAGGGAGGTGTCTACCCAGCTCCCCGGGACGAGAGTCGTGCGGGTGAATTCCCCAGTTTCCTGCAATTCAGAGAGGGGGACACGCAGGCAGCCAGGAGGCAGCAAGAGCTGGGGGTTAGCAAGAAAGAGGGTGAGAAAGGTTTTTTTTCTAGGATGATTAGGACCTGTGAAACAAGGAAAAACCCTGACACGAGTCAAGTCCGGCTGACCAGTTTCTTTTCAGGATTTCTTTTCCAGCAGTGGATGCTGCTCAGTGAGCTGTGCAGCAGAAAGGTAGAAGAAGGCAACAGCTTCAAGCTTGCAGCCTGCAGACATGGATGCAAGGCTTGGGTTAGGCAGAAGAGCCTGTAGCAAGAGCCCACAACCCCAAGAGCACAAGTATAAAGGGAGACTCTTACAAAATGCTGCTGCCCAGAAGCTGGACCAAAGTGTTCTGCCACCTCCCTGGCTGTGTGGCACTACCTAGATGGACAGGAGTGACCTCAAGAACGCTCAGACAGGGACAGGGACAACACATCAGAGCCACAATGATGCTGCTAGGAAGACCCCAGCATCTTTACCAATAGGGTGATGTTACACCAATGGCTGAACTGGGATGGACATCAGCTCAGGAAAGGAGAACTGGCCCGTTGCTTAGTGAGAGGGCCTCTGAGTTAGGTTCAGGGTAAGAGACATAGCGGATAAAACCAGAGGAAAGTATAAAAACAGAAGCAGCCTGGGCACAGGTCTAAAAAGAAAGGGTGATAATACAGTCACAGATGGACAAGGAAATAGGGTGAAATCTTCTGAATATCTTAGATATCAAATGCAACACTGGTGAATATATTGCTTTTAGCACAGACCTTAGGTCTTATTTAAGATGTCATATTTCATTTAAGACAAAAGTGATGATTTAACCAGCATAACTGCAACTTATAGTAGTAAGGCATATCTGGAATACTGATATAAAGATGCATAGCTTATATATGAACCGGCAAAGAATCTAGGTAGCATCTCTTGGTATACTAAGGATGCTGCATATACTTGCTCTGAGGTCCAGAAAACAGAAGGAGGAAGAACCGCTAAATTCTCTGGTTAATAATAAGGAGGGAGGGGGGACAGAACCACAACAAAAAATAAACAAACCATGGGGGATGGCACAACAAGAAGATTAAAGGGATCAGGCTGTCTGAAAATAACTGACTCAATGGTAATGGGAGAGTACAAGCATGAGATACCTGCTAGGAAAGGAAAGCAGCAGGAGATGGAGAGTCCTGGTGCCTTCGGAGCAATATTCTCGCATAACTGATAGGTCAAATAATCAGTGGGGAAGTGCCTCCAGAGAGGGATGTGTTGGGGGTAAGACCGTGGAAGCAAACTTGTGTAAGAGAGTCTGTGAAATGATGAAATCTGCCATACACACGGGATTTGGGACAGCAAAACAGAAATGCCTGGCTTCAGTACATTAAAAAAATACTGCTAGGCAAGAATTCATGGAGGGAATTTTAAAGGAAAAATAAATCAAGGTGAGCTGTAGTTTCTTGAAGAAACAATATTTTGTGCTTAAAAGGCACAAGCACAATAACATTTCAATGCAGAAGAAGGATCAGAAGACCTGGCAGCATCACGAGCTTTTCATTTACCTCAAAGACAAGAAGAAAGAACACTAAAAGGTTACTGAGCAGGAGTTAAAAAATGGTGTGAACATACAGACAGAAATATTAGAAACATCACGGCATAAAAATGAAATGAAACTTGCAGAAGATTAAAAAAAAAAATTTTACCCTTTGTATGTATATTAATACCAAGAAGACAGTCTAGAAAATTGTTGCTCAAATAGAGGGAAAGTTATTGAAAAATGACACTGAAAGAGGCAACATTGGTTTGATTTTTGCTTTAGTCCTTGTTAAAATTGCCTACTATGCACAGGGGATTAGTACAGTTAATAATATGACACATTATCACTACAAAGGTGTACTATCCTCTTTGGTGCCCCTGCCAGGGTGAGATCAGTCCTCTGTACAAGTCAGGCATTTCGAGACCAGCAGGGTGGGACAAACCACCTTTAAAATTCCCTACAAAACCAGCTGAAGCCATCTCAGATATCTCCCTCCTGGTCACCTGTGAGAACTCAGAGAGGTAAGGTGCCAGATGGCAGGACAAAGGCAAGTGCAGTGCCCGTCTTCAAGGGTAGAAAGAGAAGCAGCAAAAGGATGCTATGTCAGTCAGCCCTGAAAAAGTCTGAAACAAACAAACAGTTTGCGTGTATGTGGAAGATAACAAAAATTTAAGTGGCAGCAGATACAGAAGAGACAAGAAAAACATCATATCAAATAAAATTAATTTCTTTTCATAATGGAGAAGCTGTTAGATGTCATTTATCTGTGCTTTATTATAGCTTTTGACACCATCTCAAACAACTTTCTCGTAAATAAACTAGGGAAACATGATTAAATGAGGCTACTATAAAGCCATACCCAGGGTGTAGTTATTAATGATATTCTGTGAAAACAGAAGGACACTGTGAGCACAGCTCTGCTGGATCTATACAGTCTAGTTCTGCTCAGCACATTCATTAGTGACCTGGATGACAAAAGAGAGCACACTTATTAAATCTGCAGATTACACGAAGCTGGGAGCGACCGCAGACACACTGGAGAAGAGGATTAGCATCTAAAATAATGTTGGCAAAAATCTGCAAAACATTGTCTAAAAATTAGGATAAAGTTCAGCAAGGACAAGTGCACAGTACTACAGAAGGAAAATCACACATAGGTAGGGTTGGCTAGGTGGCAAATCTTTGGGAAGAGGTGCAGGGTTTGTGGTGAATCATTTCTGTCAATAAAGTCTGGCTGTTGGGGGGAAAAAAGGACCCTTTATCCCAGGATGTGTCAGGAGGCACAAAACCTACCAGGTGTGTGAAGCCTCATGTAAAGCTGGGAAGGTCTCAGCAGCAAAACTACACCCTTGAAGCAGAGTACTGACATGACTACCACTCTAGAAAATGTGACTTATTAGGAAATACTCACAAAATTAGGGCCTGCTAGTCTAAAAAGGAGACAGCATTGCAGGTGGGGTATGAGAACACAAGCTAAAGTCCTCAAATACCTAAAAAGGCCCCACAGTTACCAGGAGAAAAAGAGCAGTCTATCCCCCTTGCCCATGGTGGAGTAATGGACGTGAATCATATCAGGGAAGTTTTAGGTTAGCAGTTAGGTAACACTAATAAGGTTAAAGAGTACCAAAGCACCAGAGGACATTGTCTCGGGTGACTGGAGTCTCCATCACTCATGGTCTCTGCAGTGGATTAGACATATACCCGCCAGGAGCAATGATTAGAGCAAATCTCTCCTGGGCTGTGGGAGAGAGTAGATCTCTCCATTTCAGTCCCACTTACTGTTTTCAACATCATTTTCTATCATAGTGAGAGTGGAGTGAGAGGTGATACAATGGGTAACACCCACGAGTTATAACAATCACACCCTTACCATTGCTTCAATTGAAAACATTGGTATGGCTCCCACTAACCACACAGGGTTCAAAACCATTCAAGCACTAGATGTGACCAGACAGGTCACTCTTTGAGCCCCTTTTTGGCTTAATAACTTAAGGAGTTTTGCTCTTAGCTGGTTCATTTTGATATTGGGTGAGCATGTTACAGACTGCCCTTTGCAAACTATCCCCAGAGCAAATGCACTGCCCCAGTGTCAAGCCTAGAAAACACGGGGCTCCTTGAAAGCAGCGCAGTTTTAGCTCCAGAGACTCCTGTGTTGGCCAAAGGCACAACTCAACGTTGACTTCAGCTTCAGTCCTGCAGTCAGCCAGGCAGGATGGGGCGTTCAAGGGCATCTGCATCCCACAGAAAGCTCATCCATCATTCATCTAGCGGCACTGCTGTAGGGCTCTCCCCCTCCATGCACAGACGTTCCTCCAGAGATAGAGGATGATGGTCCACTCCACCCTGCCAGAGGGAGGCAGCCTTCAAAACCCTCCTGCAGGAAAAACTGCGGGCATCGATACGCTGTGGGTTGCCTGTCTACACCCCTGAGCTCACTGCAGAGCCATGGCAGACACTTAGAGATAATCATGTAGATAATTATACAGTACTTTCAA